GGTATGATTAGGAACATGAAAGGATGATAGAGCATATTGTCTACTTAAGTGTAAAGGCATCAGATTATGATAAATTTTTAGGTATTCTTAGTACATGTTTTAGTAGGTCATTTTATTGGTGGTGCAGCTGCTACTTATTAGTGAATACTTGGTGCAGGAAGTTCTAGCATGTTTTCAGAGTGGACGCAATAAACAAGAATGACAATATTCAATAGATTTTTGCATATTTCACTTATTTGTTATTGCTTTGTTTTATTGTACCATAAATTTTTACCTATGAGGGTATGTAATAACTTATACTCATTCCTTTTAATTTGTTTGTCTTATATCTGTTTTAATCTATTTCAAAAAAAAAAATGTCTCTTTCCCTTTTTGGTACATTATATATATCTTTAATTTAAGATTATAAAATTAAAAAAAAAATAACTTTTTTAAATTTCATATCGAGTCAAAACGAGACAATCAATTTGAAATAGAGGGCGTAGAAGAAAGGAAAATATGGAAAGGAGATGCCTTTATATATTAACCTGAAGACATTTCCAAGTCTAATTTTGTGATTAGTTGATGACACATACATTTGTGTAAAGTTTTTTTTAGGTCATGAATTTTTCATTAAAAGAATAAAGATTTTTATAGTGCAAAAAGAAACAGGAAAGAAGAGGAAGCAGAGGACGGTGGAGTTGAAAAAAGTAGAAAAACAATACTCTTACACAGTTACACAGATGAGCTTAAATTATCTACCCTTCGAAATTTTTTATGAGATATCATGATTATCCTTAACGCCTTAGGTTTGATGTATTATAATTTTGCAGCTTTTTAAGTCAAGCCTGATTGTTTATTAATACTTTTTAAGTTTTACTTAATAGTAGATTTGATTAGTTTTCTGAGATTACAACACCTACAAGTTTATTTTGTGGTTTTGATCTTTTATAGACAAGTTTGCTTTGTGAACAGGTTAAAAACTTATATGTTGGCAAAGATCATGTTATGGATGTTCCGTTGTCAAAGAAAATATTTGCTTCACTACAATTGATGAACTGTATAAAAGCTTTACATTTATCATCACTTTGCTCAATATTGTCAATAGACAGTGGAGTTGTTATTTCCATTTAGAAAACATTTGGACACAGATTACAAAAGTTCAATGCTTGTATTATCAATCTTAATTACCACAATATCATTTTTTTCATAGGAATTTCTTGAAGGTCATAAATAACTTTTAATTATGAAAGTACTTCTCCATGATCCTTATGTTGTTACTAACTACAATTAATGGCGACTTTCCTATCTTTTGTGGCAATATTAGTCGATCCAATTTCTTGTAGTGACATTCACATATTTATAACTCCTAAATGTCATTTCAAGTTTGGCTACATATGATGAAGAGTTTGACATATGGAGCAAAATATGGTGGCAAATCTACTTGCAAAGGAAGATGGTAGAATGTCATAAATGAGTATAAATAATAATTAAAAGAGAAGATGAAAAGTTGAAGAGAATTATATTCAAATCGATGTGGCTACTCTCCATTTCGTCAAGTATGCATTTAGATGAAAGACATGTGTCCTATTTATTTTTTAAAGGTTAAAATTATATATATTACATTCATAACCATAATTAAGAAAATAAAATTAGAAAAATACTCTTCAAAATTAGTAAAAAAAAGAAGAAGATATTTTCTAAATTTTGAAGATCCATTAAATACCATTGATTTAATCTTAATTTTATATTCAAAATATCAAAATTGTTGAACATGAATTTAACATATTTATTTAGCCTGATAAACAATAATCTTTCGAAATTTTTTTGGCATTAGAACATTCAAAAATATTTTTGTTTTTTGAAAAATCTGTTCTTTTAATTCACACATACAAAAGAAAAGATAAAAGATCTTCTTCTTTTTTGAAAAAAATAGAATTCTTTTTTTTCTCTGGAAATATCAGTAATAATATAATATATACGATTTGGTTATATTCTCCAAACAAAGTAACCCCCTACATTTAAATATTTGGATATAAAAATATAAGATATCTCCTTTTTTGACTTTATTTTTTAAAAAATTTCTTCAATTATTTTATTTTGTAAAAGCATCCCCTTAATTCATAGTTCCTTAATAAATAAAATCATAACTTTCAAACTTTTCATAATCATAACTTTCAATTATTTAATATACAAATTTGTAACATCTTAAAATCAATTTAATAGATTTTTTTTAAGGTATATGTACCTCCCACTATAATTGTCTTCTTTATTAGAATTGATAATATATATTAA